AAACTGACAATTCATTGGTTTCATTTCAAGAGATTATTTTATAAGATGTAAAGATATATACATCTTGGGCAGATTTTAGCTATTCCCATGAAAGTATTGTTTTTATCTTCCAAAACATCTGTCAAGAAATTGTTGTTTAGCCAACCCAAAATATAGGCAGGTTGTTTGTTCGTAATTCTACATTTGAGATAAAAAATCCTTAAAAATTGGCAAGTTATTCAGATTATGAAGACAAGTTAGACAGATTAGGCAGAGTTTAGCCATTTAAGTAAGATATGTTTAAGATGGTATGTAGGTTTCATTTTAGAAAGATAATCACTGAGTTAGTTAGTGTTAGGAATTTCAAATTGTTTTCTAGAGTATAAATCACCAATAATATAATTTTGAGTTTTTAATATATAGTATATAGAGAAGAATAAAATAGGCAAATTGATGGGGTTTAGTAAAAGACCAAACAATTCATTGGTTACATTTGATATACAGCTTGGATAGATTTTAATTGTGCCCAAAAAATCATTGTTTTCATTTTTGGGAAATTATGTTATAAGAGAAAAACATGCAAATTAGCCAGCATTTAGCCAATCCCAAAAACTTATTTATTTGAATTCATGAGTTTATATTGTAATGATTAAAAAATGTGTGGGCTATTTGTTTGTAATTCCACACTAGAAATTTTAAATATTGAAAAATATGTCAGTAATTAGGATTATTAAGAATAAGACATGTTAGGTAGAGTTTAATTAGCCACTTTAAACAAATCATTGATTTCAAGTCAACACTGTAGCTTTTAAACATTAACTATAGGGATATTAGGATGGAGTTTACCCAAATTGCAGCATTCCAATTACATTTTCCAAGTAGCTGTTAAAATAATGCATAAGACACCATCAATGGAATCTGCAAAGTAGTCAAGTGACGACCATTATAACAGTAAAAGACCATCGATTGCATAAATTACAATTGAATTACCAAATGTCCGAAATACCAGGAATAATTTTGAGGAACATTTGACTCTCAGCATCACCTCAGTTAGGATTTGTCTAAAATTTCAGCAGAATCTCCGTCCGTCTCTGAAAAATAAGGTTTTCAGTTTAAAATTCAAATCAATAAACTCAAAATTGTAGGAGTCGTACCTTTGATGACTCTCTTAAGCCCGATCTTTAAATTTTTGACACAACATTTAAATTCTCTTTAAATTTGTGACACAAGGCAAATAAGTTGTGAGTACAGAGGTCCAACATTTAAATTCTCTTTAAATTTTCAATAAGGAGAATGAGACAGAGCATGAATTCCACCTGGATCTTGGCATTGATTTTATCAGTGGTGTTATTACCCTGAAGGCCTGAACTTCAAAGTTACTGTCTTCTCAATAAAGGTTTCACAAGGATTACATTATTGCATTCTCGAAGCTGCAACCACCAAGAAACATTGACCAGATCAGGATATACACACGAGGATAGCAATATAAATTGATAGAGGTTAGTGATTTCTATTTCCAACTACTCTGTGAAGTGTACAATTTGATTAAGTTCACTATAATATAAGCAAATAGTGACACAAATTTAAGAGTGATTTAAAATGAGTTGAGCTAAGATGACCTATAGAAATACATTTGATTTGATTTCACATCTACCAGAACTCTCATCGATATAGTCTGTGTATTAGCTCATAAAAAACAAACACCTTTAACCTATTTTTTTTCGCAAATCAACCATAAACGTATCAATTTCAAACTAAAAATCCAAAAATTAAACACAAAGTTTTGGAAACTAACAAATGACTATCACTCAATTGGACTCTATCAATACAACAAAAGCATGTCTTAGTCGTACACCAGCCCATTTAACTATACCATCAGATTTCTAACTATTGGATATGTTTGGTCTAAAAATAGATAAAGCTTCTTCACACTTAACCAACAATTAAAGTCATCAAGCAAAAGGCATATACCATATCTGAAACAAAATCTTACATCAATAACTATTAGAAATTAGAAATATTCAAAATAAAAAACTTACAGACTGAGAGATTTTGACTCAATATATCTTGCAGATTTATGGTAGTGTTGATGAGGATTTTCAGCACTTTAAGCTTAGTTATTGAACCGGTGTTTCAAATGATTTAAAGATAAAGTAATACAGTAGTTTTATTAAAGCATGATTAGAACCGAGTTGAGTAAAGATTATCCAAATGTAATGCATTCCTATGACAAAAATGTAAACTTGAACCTATAACTTAAATACGAAACAAAAGCATGAGCAAAATATAAAGGCTTACATATCGGAGCCTTAGAAATAGTCCTCCCTGTTTTCCAATATATCAGACCATATCAAAAGAAGAATATTGTGCCTTACTTAGTCACATATCAGTCAATTTAATGTTCAAAAAAATGCTTAAATTTTTATATGAGCTGACATATAAACGGGAGAACCAGGAAATTAGAATAATAGATGTATATATACATATATATCAGTGGCCTTATTACAATTATACGAAACTTGACTTATGGCATCCATTCTCAACTTAACTCAGTTTGTTGTGAAGATCATCTTCGTAAAGGCTAAATCGAGACGAAAGCATAAATTGACTCATTTGCGAGTCCACGCTCAAAACTGACAAAGAAAACAGAAATTAGGGTGTACTTCTCTAATTTTAGAGTAGATAAAATAGAAAATACAACAATATGCACACACTATAGGCATGCACTCACTGGTCTCAAGATTTTAAGGAACCCTTAGATGAGCTTCGATGTTTTTGACATTTGAGCGATCGTCCATTTCGAGCCTGGCAGATAAGTAATTGAAGGGTTGAATCAGTGAAACTGTTGAAATTAGCGTATGCGGTGAAATAATTGGCGGTGGAGATATTCGATCGATGGAATAAGCTTGAGGCGGTGTATTATGCGTATTACTGCGGAGGGATAAGGTTTGGTAGATTACGGCCATGAGCCTGAGTGATATTATTTGGGGGTGGGCCGATGGCGGATTTTGGAGGTCGACGATGGCGGATGGCGTTGCTGAGGTGAAATCGTTCAAGCGAGTGTGGTGGTGAAAGGTTGATAGCCGACCGGTGAAGCTTCATGTTATCTATATATACCTAGGTTATTTATTTTGGGCTGGGGTTAAATGGTAGACTTCTCAAATGGGTTAAGGTATAATTTGGGCCATTGAAAAAATATTTACATAGTATGGAGTACTTTGTATTAGTTTAGTGGATTTGGTTAATTAGTTCTCCCTCTATTTTATTTTATTTTATTTTTGCATCCCTCCATTTTAATTTTATTTACAAAATTTGTGTCACAAAAGAATTAAGTAAGGTAATAAATGAAGTTTTGTTTTTTTTTATTTTGCCTTTCATTTCATTTTCATTTACCCCAGTGCCGCAAAGACTCCCACCTACGGTGGAGTAAGGGAGGTCGGATGTACGCAGTACTACCTCTGTACTAAAGCACAGAGAGACTGTTTTCGAATGACCCATAGTGAAAATCTCGTCCAAAATTGCATGGACTGACTGCTGCTTCATAACAAAGAAGCACAAACAGTTTATTGAGCCATTTTGCTTTATTTCATCATAATCTCAAGCCAAAAAATAATGAATCTTTGGCTCCATTGCAAATGATGGAAAAAGGGATTAAAGTAAGGGAAATTTGACACTTTTTTCGTCTTTCCATTTCCAAATAGAATTGTTATTGAATAATTTGCAATTCAATATATGTTCCCTTAAATAAATTAGATATTCTTTTATCTCGGAAATGAAACCATTCGCATATTTCAAGATTAATGAAAGTTTCCTATTTAGTTGAAATATCAAAGTACCATTTCCAATGACATAGGTTAGTTCTTTTAAAGGATCAGTCTGGCGCGGGTTTTTGCTAAACCTGGAAATTACCCGTAAGGTCTCGGGTTATGAAAATTAAAGGTCGGAACAAAGCAAATTATATTCAGTCCGAGTCGGGTTTTTGATAGCCCGGGTTTCGATTCGAGTTTGGGTTGGATCAGCTAAAGCCCGAAATTGAAAAGGAGATTTCAAATAATAACACAAATATTAGTCTCCCAAATCACTAACAATTCAATTCAAACAATATTTTGTTTAAGATGCATATAAATAAATGATATAGGTTTTCTAAAAATAGTACTAAATAAAACGTATGAATAAAAATGTGACTAAAGTTACTATAAATATATTTTCATGGTCATTACGGTATACAAATTGAACATATTTGTAGCCAGTAAAAGTTAGTAAGTCATGTTTTCATTCTTTTATCAAAATTGTAATCTTTTTGTACTGACGAACTACATTTACTTCTTACTGCCAATTGTTTAACAATTTCACACCTTTTTGCGTGTTTCATAATGAACACTCCTACATATAACCTTTGAAAATAATCATACTGTGCATCGCACGGGTGCTATACTAGATGAGTGAGACATGACGAAATTCTAATTTGCAAGAGTGTAGGTAAAAATTTTTAATGCCAAGGATCTCTGTAAATTATCAACGTTAGAGTTCCTTCTTAGATTTCAAATGCAACAATATAAAATATTAAAAAATGCTATCAACCATGGACAATTATTCATCATTATCTCAAGGTTTACAAATCGTTTTCATATTGAAATACTTATTTAAGGCGAAGATGAAAGACCTCTGGAAGAGACCACCAATGTGGTATATCCTGTGTTTTGTAACATACAATCTTTGTTTAGAAGAAACATACAATCTTGATTATATTAAACAACATTTAGTACTCATTATGCCATTTTTGTCACAACATTAACCCGCGTTGTACTGTCGAACTATTATGTTCATTTCACACTTTGAAGTTATTTAAAAATCTAATATTATCTTAAATTTCTTATAACAATCGTTCAATTTAAAAAAAAAATACTCACACACCGTGCATCGCACGGGGCTATACTAGTTAACACTTTAAAACATTCTTTACCTTTTTTAAGTCTTTGAAAATCTTTTTTTTAGTCGGACGCATTTTTAAGCGACCACTGTCCTTATGCACGCGCCTGGACCAAAACTCCAAGACGCAGCCGCGAACATGGGAGTCCTCGGGAGACTCAGTTCAGATGAGCTCCGATTCTTCAACTCTCAAGGTTACCCTCTCAATTTCGCGTGTGCGTGCTTTCTTCTTGAGAAAGAGAGATGCACGCAATAATCTGTACAGTTCAAGTCAGTTAATCTGAAGCGAGTGGTATTTTGATCAGGGTATCTTGTGCTGGAGTCGTTTTCCACGGCAGAAGAGATCGAATCGATGATGGTGAGAATGGAGGAGCTTCTTGATGGGTTTGATTGTTCCTCCACCACCTCGATTTTCTCCACCAAGAATCAGGTCAACCCTTGCACTGCCCTAACGATATACTCATCTTCAGAATTCCCAAAATTCCGATCTTTGAGGTTTTCGTTTGCTGTGGGTTTCAGAAGGAAACTAGTGACAATTACTTCTTTGAAAGCGCTGAGAAGGTTTCGTTCTTCTTTGAAGGTACCGTGTAGCCTTTATCGTATCCAGTTATTATATCTTCTGTTTTGATTGATGTTTTTTTAAAAAATTTGAAAAATTGCAGAGAGGGCATTTGGGGATAATGGTAACTTGAAACAGCCAAAGCATCTCTCCATAAACAAAGTTGGCCACGGTAGGCTGTAGCCTAACTAAGTGCAGCTTCCTTACTTTGTTAATATTGCCACTCTCTTTTTGAATCTTTAATGTTGTAACCCTCCTCTCTAATAATTTTATCTTGAGTATATGATCTAACAACACAGTCCAATGTTTATTTTCGGAGTAAATCTGAAATTTGATTTGTTTCCGCACTTTCCTGAGTTTTACAGCTTTGCATGAAAATGATCCCGTGTTTAAAAAGTTCTCTAGTCCAGAAAAAGTTTCTGGCCTACTCCAGTCTTTGGGTTATCAGCGGCCAGTGGCTCTTCAGTCCATGTACATATTTAAGGTACTTAAAAAACACTCTTGCTGTATGTTTGCTTTGAAGAGCCAAATCAACATGTTCCATATGGTGTGTCTTAGCCATCTCAGATTCTCAGGTATTGCTGATGTTCCCACATTGCATTGCAGAAGCTAACTCGCATTGGTGTTAAACATTACTTAATACTACGTAGTTAATATAGAGCAGCTTTTGTTTCATTTGTGGTTTGCTTTAGCTTTTTAAGTCTTGTTTATTTACTCTTTCTTTTATTTTGTATATTGAAACACTTGATGCTAATATAAAGTTATATACTGTAAGCGTTTACATGTACACATATTAGATGAACACTTATATGATACACTATCTAGATCGCAGCTAATCCAGGAATCGCGACAATGTCTGATTAAAAACTACTGGTGTTGTAGATGTGAGAAACTATTGGCTAAAAGCCTAAAACCCATATATCTATATAACACTATAAACTTCATTTCATTTTTGTATGTACTGAACCTTTATCTCAATGAGCTTCTTCCATCAATTACAAAACAACCACTCAACTTTGCCAAGTTGAGGTTGAGTGGGAAATTAAAAAAGTAAAAACAGTGTGGTTGAGGTTTGCGCTGAGGAGAGAGAAATGAAGAGAGCAACAAATTCATTGCTTTAAAATGAAAGTGGCAAAGTTTTTTGGGACAAACAAAAAAAGAAAGTTGGCAAAGTCCAATGTGACGGAGGGAGTAAGAAATACATCCAAGCCTTATTACTAAGAGTTTAAGGTAGGCCAAAATGAATCGCCATATAATATCAGAGTTAAAACATGACAAAAAATCGGAAGAAATATGTTTTCTGTAAACATGTAAAAGTTTGAGAGAGATATTAGAAAACTAAGTGACATTTCAAGTTTTTACTGTTTTTACTAACATCTATGTGCCTCATCACACTTGGAATATTTAGTTTTTTTGTTGAGTGACATTTCAAGTTTTTATTTTCAGCAACCAGGTATTGGTGGTGAAGTTGTACCACACCAGGACAACTCATTTCTTCATACTGAACCACGAAGTTGTACAGGCTTGTGGCTGGCTTTAGAGGATGCAACAATTACAAACGGTTGTCTCTGGGCCATTCCAGGGTCTCATAAAAGTATCAAATATAAGGCTTTCTTTAATATACTCATGCTTTTATGAAGTTAATTAATGCATGAAGTCACTAAAATATTTGTTTTTGTTTTTTCTTCAGATGGCCTTGTGAGGAGATTTATTAGAGACAAGGACGGGGTTCACTTTGATAAGCCATCCCCATCATATGACCAAAAAGATTTCGTTCCTATCGAAGTTAAAGTTGGCACTTTGGTTGTCATTCATGGTGATCTTATCCACCAGAGGTCAGAATTTCATAAAAAGATTATCAGTTGCTCACTGTCCATTATGGACGTATGAGTGAATAGCTGCATACCATTTGACCTTCATTTTTCTTTTCTTTTCATTTCACAGCTTCGAGAATAAGTCTGAAAAATCAAGGCATGCTTACAGTGTGCACATAGTTGACACAGATGGCTGCAAATGGTCAGAAGACAACTGGTAAGTTTGTTAGTTCCCATCATCATTTGTTTTTTGTTATTGTTAAAGCAACCTTCCACACTTAGTAAAAAATAGTGGGTTTTGTTTTTTGTTGATGAGTGAGCAATACTTTCAGTAGAGGTATCCACTTGTTTTATTCCCCAATTGAAAATGGCTTCATAAATTAAGCATGTTCAGGATTTTATGCACTACAGGTGTCTGTGTAGTTGGGTGTTTAACACACTCTGAAGTAGTGTTGATATAAATAGTAATGCAATTGGATGGAAGTGAATTCCTCCAACTACAATGGAATATTTAGAATTCGTTCAAGATACAATATTCTGCCCATGTAGTAATAATTTGATAAGCGTTTAATAATTATACGAAGTGCCGATTGTAGTAATTAGTACCAATGTTCTAAAAGGCGCTAAGCGCTAGTCGGGCGCCAACCCGGATCCTAGGCGGGCGCCTAGGCGACTAGGCGGGCGCCTAGTCGGGGACTAGTCAGAGACAAAGAAATTGCATTTTATCTATATTTTTGCATAAATATGATAAGTAATATTGAATTTTTGTGTGTATAAAATACATATATACACATACATTAACGAACATGAATGATAGAATTATCACATTTAATCATATGTAGTATATGATAACTAATCACTTAACTTCATCATGTTATAAATATAAATAATGATGAAATTTAGGTACATATATATATATATATATATATATATATATATATATATATATATATATATATATAAGCATATATAGTTTTATCTTAATTTACAACTTCATTTCTTTATATCCATGGCTAAAGCTAAAGTATATCGCTTAGAAAATTAATATTAAAAAGTAAAGTAATGTTCGCCGAATCTAGACGGCCTAGGCGGCTGATTAGGCGCTCTAGGTGGGCAACTAGGCGCTCTAGGTGTGCAATTAGGCGCCATAGGTGACCGACTAATTCACCTAGACGACAAACCAATTAGTCGTAGCACCTAGACGAAAATCGGGGCACCCGACCACCGCCTAGCGCCTAGACGGGGACTAGTCAGACACCTAGAACGATTTTTAGAACAAAGAATAGTACCAATTCATTTATTCATACATTAAAGCATCATTTAATAAAAACCCATGCACCTCAAATCATTTTGTACTTTAGTTTTCATAACCCGAACTCTATAAAACAAACTTCTCTATGTGGATATTTTTTTACTGGTATTTATTACTACCTCCGTCCCGGTGGACTTTGCCAAGTCCAAAGTAGGTGAGAAATAAGAATAGTAAAAACTGTGTGATTGAGATTTGTGGAGAGGAGAGAGAAATGTGCATAACCATAAATTAGTTGCTTTAATAGGAAAGTGACAATTTTTTTGGGACAATTAAAAAAGAAAAGTTGGCAAAGTCCAATGGGATGGAGGAAGTACTACAATCATCAATTGTTTGCTTGCAAATTATGCACGATTGAGTCCAATTGTAGAAGATCATTTTGAGCCGTGGCTAATAACGTTGCTTCTAACATTTGTATCAATTGAAATACAACACTCAAGGTAAAAACACGAAATTACAAAAGAAATAGTATATAAACACCAATGTTTAAGAATGATGATCATTCCCTTCACAAAAACATTAAACTAGCAAAAACAAATATAAAAAACGATTTGGAAAAAGTGACTATTTTTACATAAAAACAAAAAACTTGACTAGCAAGATAATAAATTTGGAAAACACATGATTTTATGGGATTTTCCTTAAATATAACTAAATTGAAGCTCTTTTCTTAAAAGCTGCAAGATTTTTATGTCACTAATAGATGTTACTTCGGTGTCGCATATGTCATTGCCACCGTGAAACATTTCACTGTGACATGTGGAAAATTTTTCGCTAACTTTTTTCCGGTGAATTTTGAAAAAATTTGAAAAACGAAGAAAAAAATCATCAAATTTTCCAGTGTCTTTTACGGCGGCAGTTTCCAATGGCGGTTTTCGGTGATGAGTGGGCAGATCTTGAGTGGGGGAGGGTGTTGGGCAGAGATCGGACAAAATTACAATGTGAATTAATTTGGAAAAAAGGAAAACTTATCCCTTTTTGTATTTTAAAAAGGTAAATGTGATATATATATATATCCTTTTTCCATATAAAAGCTACTCCTTCCGTCCCATTGAAAGGTTCCCATCCACTATTCACATGGTCAACTTAAATCATTCTTAATCTTTTGCTTTATATATCAAATTTTTATCAAATTTACAATTTTTTATTAGGCTTTGTAGTGGTTTTAATGTAGTTTCTGAATATGTAAATTTTATTTACTAAAAATAATCAGAGTGTGAGCAGAGATTAAATTGCTTTATCGTCAGTCAAGCATCGTAATCCGTAATTGGAACCTCTAAATGGGACGTAGGGAATATGAATTAATTAATGGATTGAATTCACATGTACTTTTGCTTTTGTAACTTGGCAATTATCATTCAATATTTGCTTTTGTCACATAGGGCCTCTTATCTAGTTTCATTGTAAATACTTTGCCAATAGGAAGTACCGAAGTAAGGTAACTGATAGAGTATAACCTCTTAGAGAGAAGTGAGAACTAGAGAGAGAGGTGCAATAAGTATGCAATAAATGTATTTTGTCAACCCTTTGCAACTATCCCCAATAGGAGTATTTATAGGGAAAATATGGACTGGGCTCCCATGCCTTGGGCTTGGGAGGCCCATTACAAGATAATGCCTCTACTTGGCTCAAAACATTCGGAATATCAACTAAGTATGAGAATTCAGTTCTGCGAGCTCTCTGTGGCCGATGAAGCCTCAGCCAAAGGAGTCGTGGCCGACAGAGCCCCCGGCCGACGGAGCCATCCGGTTCTCCTAGCCTTGGGATCATATTCTGGGTCAATGTGTATTTCGGCCGACGAGGCCACTTGGCCGATGGGAGGCCTACCTGGTGACAACTGTGCCTCATTGTTCTGAGTATGTGAGTCCTGAGGCCTGGGCCCATATACTCTATCAGGATACCCCACTCTCTGAGCTGAGATGCAGACGAAGCTGAGGATGGACTCAACCGGCCCGGCCCACTACTGTGCGGGCCCGGACCGGACCGGGACCGGTTGGCCGATTCCGGGCTTTTAGCCCGTTTGGGCGGGTCGGGCGGGCTCAAGACCAGTTTTGGGCGAACCGGCCCGGGCGGTTCGGGCTGAGCCTGGGTCATTTTTTTTGTTTTTTCTTTTCCTAGGGTAGGGCTGGGTGTTTTCGGGAGGTTTGGGGGTGGGGGTGAGGGGGGGGGGGGGTCGGGGGATAACAAGAAAGCAAAAAAAAAAAATTAGACATTGAACCGGGCCCGGACCGGCCCGACCCGGTTAGGCCCGAACCCGGTATCAACCCGGGCCAGTTCCGGGCCTAAGGTTTTGCAAAAAAGCCCGTCCGAGCCCGGCCCGGAACCGGCCCGGCCCTGGTCCATCCCTAGACAAAGCAAAAGGGAGTAGACTTTTCTGCCTTGATGTTTTTGGCCGTTATTGGACCATCCAATGTGTTGTGCGACTTTTCCTTTCGTTGCGTTTGGACACCATTGATGCGTGGTCGATGGCCGACGATCGTTGTTCAGATGAGGACAATGTGTGTCCATTGTTGTTTTGTCCGTTGTTGATAGCCGGGGGTGACCCAAGGTTCGAGGACGCTGTGGTATCCCTTGACCTGTGCTTTGGCCATTGTGTGAGCTTGACTATGTGCTGTGGCCGGTGGATGCCATTAATGTGGGGGCGTTGCGTGTCTCTAGCTTTACGGACCATGTGATGTCCTCAAATTTTTGTGTTTTGTTCTGGAGGAAGATGGAGCTCATGGTGCCATTGGCCATCAGTCGAGGAAGGATCACATGTCTGGGGACGTCGTGGCGCCTTTATTGTTGACCTTTGTTCCTTTGTACTCTGACCTTTGTAGTTTGTTTTGAAGCACATGGAGGCCGATACACTGATACAGTCCCCCAATTCCCACTCCTTCACGCCGTAGAGGACGTCAGGGGTGGAGGAGCAAAATAGAATGTTAGGCCGAAGCGGGACCTTCGCGTTCCTCATCAATCCAACCTCTTGGCAATTCCCTGTCAGGGTAACCCCGTGGGAGAACCTTTGGACGAAGGTTGCAAACAAGATGTTATCATCAATAGGTTCTGTACGAAGGGTCGCTAGTCGTTAACTTGGAGTAATGATGGCTGCTGCAACCGACATAGGCGCGATTTGTAGATGTGAAGAGGTTATGCCTCTCCTTTGATTTGGCCAATGTTTTGGCCGATAAAGGTGCAACTTGGTGGTCTGTTGAACCCTTGCATATCCCTTGGGAGCGAGCTGAGTCCCGAAAGTGGGCCTGGCCCATCATTTGAAGCGGTGGCACCTCATTGGTTCTCGGGGTGGTGGCCGTTCGTGTGGCCACCGAGGGGACGCCACATGTAGTCACCGTTGGCAGGGAGGTCTATAAATACCACTCCCCTCCGAAGCAATATCCTCATTTGTGACCTGAGCTAACAAAGTGTTGCCAAATTTTCTAGAGAGAGAATCCCGTTCGAGTGTTCTTCGTTCCTCAACAATCTTCAAGGTTAGTTCTTGGCTTGTTCTTCCGTGTTTTCATACCTTTTGCTCCCTTAGGTTTTGATCTAGTGTTAGTCAAGAAGCCTTACTTAGATCTCGGGTAGTCACCCTTAGGGCTTGGATAGTTGTTATGGTGAAGTCTTTGAACGAAGAGTACTACCCGTATGATGACGAGGTCTCTGGCAAGTCCCTTGATTACCGAGTAGTGGTAGAGTGTTGTGAGGAGATCGAGGAACTGAGCCCATTTAGATCAGGGGAGCAGAGGGACGAGGAGAACATGGATGAGGATGCCGCCTCATTATCAGAGGGTGAGGATGCAGGGATCTCTCGTGCCATGGACGGGGCCTCTACGTCGGTTGCCATTCCATGTCCTGACCCGGTTTCTGCCATCAAGGGGAAAGGTCCCGTAGTGGGTGTTTCATCGATGAGGAGGCGTCGACCGAAGAAG